ATGGTCCCACCTGTCCCCGCCCGGGCTCGGCCTCGCACCGCCGCCCTGTCGCCCGCGGGCGGCACTGCACGCTGGGAACTAACGGGCGCCCCTGGTGTTTGCATGCAGTCATTGCATTCAGCAGATCCTGGAGGCCGTGCTGCACTGCCATCAGATGGGCGTGGTCCATCGCGACCTCAAGGTGAGTGCTGCTGCCCCACCGCCGCCACGGGGCAGCGTCCCTACCCGACAGGGCCTCCAGCAGCCACCTCTAAACTCTTCCTTTTGGTTGGTTTTCCCCTCCTGTTGGTTTATTTGTCACTTGGCTTCACCCACAAGCAAGAACGAACCGCTGGAGAATATCTGCTCGAGGCTGGCTGATACCTGGCTGTGAGCACCTCTTCACAGAGTCATAGACTCATCGAGGTTGGAGGAGACCTCTAAGATCATCAAGTCCAACCATTAGCCTTCCACTCTGCTGTAAAGTGCTCTTAGCAGCGCCAGGGAGAACAGGAGGTGCTTTTCAAATGTTTGGTGTATTGGTTGAATGCACCATCTTCCTCTTTGTCATCCAAAGGGGCAGGGCATGGTGGGAATTTCCCATCTCTCCTCAGTGCAAGAATGAACCATTGGAAATTTCTGCTCAAGGTTGGCTGATACTTGGCTGTGAGACAGCCTGCAGGGGCTGCTAGTACCTCTTCATAGAAGCATAGACTCATCAAGGTTGGAGGAGACCTCTAAGATCATCGAGTCCAACCATTATCCTGCCACTCTCCTGAAAAGTACTCTTGGCAGGACCAGGGAGAAGAGGATTCAAGCATTTGGTGTGTTCCTTGAATATACCATCTTCCTCCTTGTCATCTAAAGGGGCAGGGCATGGTGGGAGTTTCCCATCTCTCTTCAGCATAGCTTGGAATGCTGCTGGGAAACACAGTACTGTTTGCGTGCCATGCATTTTAGTGAGGGAAGGCCAGCTGCTCTGGGATTCCTGTCACAAAGAGCTCTCTCTCTCCAGATGATTGCTGGGCTACAAAGCATCTTTAGAAAAAGGGAATTTCTGCAGTGTTCTCACCACAGTCATCCAAGGAGTCCAGTTCTGTCTGAACTGTAGCATTGAGCTAGAACCTTCAGAAAGCAAACTCTTGCATTGAGAAGAGCATTCCCTCTTGACTGTGTG